TGTCAGCATGGTGGGGCATGCCGCGGCGTGAGTGTGGAGGTCAGGGGAGAATCTGGCTTTTCACCTTCCATGTTGTTTGGACGGGGTATCTTTTGTTGGGCACACCAGGCGAGCTGACCTGAGGGCTTCCAGGTCAGGAGTCCTGGAACTACAGATGTGCCACTGCATCTTAGTTTTCACACGGGTGCTGGGGATTTGAACTCAGGTCCTCATGTGTGCGTGGCAAGCCCCTTACTCACTGAGCCATCCCTCCCGCCCACGTGTCTTTTAAAGCTCGGCACACACACAAGGCAGACACTCCCAAGGAACAGCCCATTGAGTGTTCATAGTCTCCCCAGTCCTGCACTCCACAGGGCTACCCCACTCTGGCGTCTAACACTGGAAGTTCCTGGCTGAAGGCAGTTACATGGGAATCAAGGTACAGTCCCTTGAGTTTTGCTACTTTTGCGTGGTGCTGTTTGTATGTTTTGACCTGGTTAATTCCTACGTGGATTCTGGTTTGTCTATGGTAGTCTGTTGTGTGAACACACCTCAGGTCTTGTGCTGATGGGTCCAGACCTGATTCCAGCCTTTGGGTACACCAAACAAGGCTGCTGTGAACAGCTAGCATGTCTCTGGTGCCCACGTGAGTAAGTGTGCCAACGTACACCAGTAAGAAATGCTGGGCCATGAGGCCGTCACACACAAACGTTTCTGGTAGTTGGCCAGCTTACAGCATTCAGGGCTATGCACGAGAGTTGTGCTTGCTCCATACAGCCTGCTGGCAATTGTCACTGTTGTCTGTGGTCATCCTGTGAGGTGTGCAGTGGCATTTCATTTGTATATAATATGTTTTTGTGACCGGTCATTCATTTATCCTGAGGACAGAGAGAATTTTGGGGGGCGTTATTAGGCACTTAACTACCCTCTCTTGTGAAATGCCTACATGCTAGCTAGACATTGACTGTTTCCGGTTTGGGGATCCCATCCTTGATGTATACACAGAGTTGGATCATCTGGAGACTGTCAGGGTGTCGGACACTCAGTATCCCCCTTGGAGCAGTTGTGTTGATGTCCTTTATTGAGTAGAATTTTTCATTTTAATACTTCATATTGTTATGGGACTTTATGTGGTCAGAGGTTTTTTATTCCTTCTCCAAGGTCATGGAGAGTGTTTGGTAAGTTTGTTCTCAAAGCATCTTCCATCTGGAATTGAATTTTGCTTATGTTGAGGCCGAGGGCCAATGCATTTTCCGTATGGCTATTGAAGCAGCCTGCCTGATCTGCTGGGAAGATCAGTTCGGCCTCTGGCGTGCAGTGTCACTGTTGTCCTGACAGAACGAACGAACGAACGAACCTGTTTCTGATATGTGTGTCTGCTTCTGTGGAGAGTGGTGTGACGTTACCGTTTGCAGGAAATTCCCGAGTGTATGAGGCCTCAGAAGCCCTGCTGCACTGTGGGTGATGCTATCTGAGCCTGGCGTGGGGCTGGCTACGGCACACCCCATTTCCTGTGCTGTCTGTACCGCGGGCTTGGACTCCCTGTGGGCTTTAGGCCAGGTTATCGGGAAGCTGTGCTGTGGGCTGCTTCCTGGCAAGCCTCTGGCCTCACAGGGCATCTCTGGGGCCTTCCCAGTTGCATGTGGAACACAGCCCGCCTCCCTCCAGCCTGGGATGAGCCCAGGGAAGCGGCGGCCGCTTTGCTCTCTAGGTGTGTCTGGGTCTGGAAGATGGCTCCCCACTGCCCTCAAGAGGGTCCAGAGGCACAGAGAATCCAAGAATCCACCAGGGGTGTGACTCAGCTCGGCAGGAATTGGGCTTAACCTCCCACCATGAAAACTAGTTCAAATTAGTGAAAACTGGTTCACACAGATTTTCAAGTCCAGGAATAGGGACCTGAGGGCTTGGAGAACCTCCTGAGACCTGGTTCTGGGTGTCCAGTGAGGAATGGTGGGGTGGTTCTGCCACATGGGGCCACCGGTCTGCTGGGGAGACACAGCTGCCTGAGAGGGTCAGGTCAGAGAGGATGGTGGGGTGCGTCTTCCAGTGAGAGCTCAGGGTGATCTTGAGAGAACTCTGCCCCCAGCTCCCCACATCTCTTCCTGTGCTATGGGTTGGATTACGTCTCACTGGAATATCTGAAATCCCGAAACACCACCTTACTTGAAAACAGGGCCTTCCTAAGATTGGCGGGTTGAGATGGGATCATTCAGTGAGCCCTAATTGGATATGACCTGTGAGACAGACACACAGAGGAGACAACCATGTGATGGATAGAGGCAGGGCTTGTGGCCTGCTACCAGGGACACTGTGGCTTAGGAGGTGAGACCAGGAATATCTTCCACAGTTTGGAGGACAGACAACAGCCACATGGGCGCTTTGATTCTGGACCCCCAGCCCTCGGAGCTCTGCAACAGGATTCCCTGTGAGCAGAGCTGGTCAGTCCCCTGTCCACTGTGGCCTGCCCTGGCCAAACTTTCCTGTCTGGATCCTTGCTGACCACGGGGAACCACACTGTCGGGCTGAGGGTGACTCCCAATCTAACCAACCCCAGAGAATCAGTTGCACTGGCCTTCTCTTCTCTCTCCTTCTGCTAATCTATGGCCCAGGGCGATTCAGGTGCGGCCCAGAGACCTACCCCTTCTGCTCATGCCCAGTCCAGTGACAGATTGTTCCAGCTTTGCCTCATTTGCTCCCAACACTATTACCTTGGTTTAATTTTTCTGGTTAATCACAATAATAGCTGGTTTCTTACATCTGCTGACCCAGCCCAACCCTTTGCAAGGTTACTTTATGATTCTTCCCTTCCATGGGTCCAGGCTAGTCTCAACCTTTGAATCTGAGCTAACCTCGGCTCGCCAGCATGAGCTAGAACACAATGTAGTTGTGTCCTAGTCCTGACCCACATCCTCAACGCCTTGCCACCTCTTAGAACACAGACACTCCATTAACACAAGCCCAGGCTTGTCTGATAAGGCAGAGAGCAGCTATCCAGGACAGCCCAAGACCTGCCAGCCCCAGCTGACCCACTGCCTGAGCCCAGACACGGGCACACAGCCTAGGTCTGCCAAGGCCACTTGAAGACCTCCTGCTTAGCAGGCCTGTAGCTTGTCGAAAGTGAGTGCTCTAAGCTGTGTTTAAGGGCGATTTGTTATACAGCTGTAGATCACTGATACAACACTTCAGCTAACCTCCAGATGTTCCTTTCCTTCTAGAAACATTTTCTCCGAGGGTCCTTAGGGGTTGACTCCTCGGCATCTCCCCCTCACAGGAACTCCAGACAGAAGGCTGCAGGCCTGACCTCTGGCCTGCCTCTCCCCTCTCTTACATCTTCAGATACGAGAGGCTGGTCCTTGTCACCGCAGATGCTGGGCTGTCTCTGTAGTTCCCTGGGATTGTAGCACTTTCTGGATTTCTGTCGATGAGCATGGTAAGTCTCCCCTCCCCGCAGAGTTCAAGTTACACAGAGGCAGGGGCATGCCTGCTCCCATTCACACCGTGTCCTTGCCCTTCTAACAGGTCAGCACGCGGCTGGTACACATAGGAGAGTCACCAAACAAGGCTGCTATCTCGTCTCCCTGCTGTCAGTGGCCCCTCCATCCAGACTTACCTGCAGGTTCCCGACCTCCGAGTTCTCCTGGCCTCCGAGCCCTTGCATGCTCTGTTCTCTCTGCCTGCCCTTCCTTCTCTCATACACATCCGGGCATTCTTGTTTCTCAATAAAAATAGCTCCCACTCTGGCAGTGGTGGCGCACACCTTTAATCCCAGCACTTGGGAGGCAGAGGCAGGCGGATCTCTGTGAGTTCGAGGACGGCCTGGTTTACAAAGCGAGTTCCAGGACAGCCAGGGCTGTTGCACAAAGAAACCCAGTCTTGAAAAACAAAAACAAAACCAACAACAAACAAATGAACAAAAAACCCAAACAAAAACAAGTAACAAAAGTGGCATCCTCCTCCAGGAAGCCTTTCCTCCCTAGCACACTAAGATCTCCTCTCCAGGGATCTGACTCCATATCGGCACAGGCTGCCCACCAGCTCACCCCTCTGTCTTAGAGACTACAAGCACCCTCTTGGGATTACCTACCCTGTACACTTTCCTGAGAGTAAGGGCTGTACTGGCTTTTCCCTTGGGAACTTTGTGTTGCCAACAGGTCCAGAACATGTGGGACAGAGCTTCTGGACAAGTAGACCTGGTTCTGTGCGTGGGACCTAGGGTCTCAGTGGACCACAAGAGGAATTTAGCAACCCATGCAACACACCTGGTGGGAAGAGAATGGGTAATAGATAAAACTGGTGTTACCATGAAGTCAGTCCTCACAAGAGAGGACATCAGCCGCCAGCCCCAGGCCTGCACATGGGCCAGTTCTCCACACAGCCACGTCTTTCATAGGGCAGTGACATGTGTCTCCAGACCCTTTTCCACTTCTCCTCTCTGAAGTTCCTCTAGGGACTCAGAGCTGCATTTTCTTGCTCAAGAAGCGTTTTCTCCTAAGAAGCAGTTTGAAAAAAGCTTTGTACTCCCCACTCCCCATTGTGGTGTTTTGAACAGGGCCTCACACAGCCCCAAGCTGGCCTTGAACTTTTAACTCTTGGTCCCCTGCCTCCACCTGTGCTGAACACAGGCCAGTGCCACTGCACCCAGCAAGCTTTCTCTAGGGGGCTCTCTTCCCAGTCACTCCTGGGTTGATGCAAGGCGGAGCCAAGGACAAAGCTGACACCAGCTCGTGGTGATGCGTTTGACTTGTTCAACCCGTGCAGTTTAGGGAAGCCAATCCTCAGGGTGGGTGCTCAGGCCACATGGGAGGAGCCTCCAGTGGGCGGTGCCGACCGGAGCAGTTTAGGGAAGCCAATCCCCAGGGTGCTCAGGCCACATGGGAGGAGCCTCCAAGGGGCAGCACTACTACAGTGCTGTGCTGTTACGATGTTCGAATATCTTCTTGGCGTCTATCTCGCCCTCTATCATGTGTGGGTGGATTTCCACATCCATCCCTGCATCCTTGCACAGCTTGATCAAGGTCTTGACGTTGTTCTTGGACAAACGCAGGTACCTTCAAGAGAAGGCAGGGAGAGGTGACAAGGAGTCGTGGGACCTGGCTGTCACTAAAGGGTTGGCTGTGGGCTTGGTGTAGCAATGCACACCCTCAATCCCGGCACTCGGGAGGCAGAGGCAGGTGGATCTCTGTGAGTTTGAGGCCAACCTGGTCTACAGAGTGAGTTCTGGGACAGCCAGAGCTACACAGAGAAACCCTGTCTCAAAAAAAGGTGGGGATATGGGTTGGCTTTGGGCAGTAGGAGGTCGGCAAGAGACCTTGGCCTGACTCCCTGTGTCCCTGATAGGAGGTGGTGGGAGCTCATGGTACTGTAACTCTTGGAAATCAACCTGTTAGGCATCACCCTGGTTATCTGCAGAGAAAACAGGCCAGTTTTCATTGACTCAAGCATGAGGTCCATGGGAGTAACGAGAAGTTATGTTATAGGAAGACAGATGCTCATGGGGGAATGAGGAAGTCCATCAACAAAGTGACAATCTGGTAAAGAATGGGCCATCCCATTCGGAAGACTTGATTAAAATGGCATCAGGAAGAAAGAGGACATGGCTAATGTGGGGTGTGGGTATGTGTTAATTTGGGTGGAATGTGGTATGTTAGGCACTGCGGCAGGCAGTGGATCTGAGTCAAGGCTGGGGGACTTGAGTGTGCATACACAGAGCTGCATGAACAGGCATACTTGCCTTCCTTTAATTCACTGTGTGTGTGTGTGTGTATTAAACAACAAGGCCATTGATTTAAACAGTGTTCTAAAGCCTTGTAATCCTGACTTTTGCTGAGGAGTGAAATTGATCCTATCTGTGCTGTGTGTGGGATCCAGACAGAGTTCCTGGTTCCACTGTCAACCTTGACCTTGGGGCCAGCTTTATACTCAATCACTTCACCTGTCTGACTGTCTATCTCTCTATCTCTCTATCTCTATCTATCTATCTATCTATCTATCTATCTATCTATCTATCTATCTATCTATCTATCTATCTATCTATCTATCTATCTGTCTACCTATCTATCTATGCCGAGACAGGATCTCATGATGGAGCTCAGGCAGCTGAGACAATCCTCCTGTCTCAACTCCGGAGTGCTGGGATGACGGTGTGTGCTAATCTGCTGACTTCTTGGTCCCAGCTTTAGCAGAGGCTGGTTCTGGGGGACAGGGAGGAGCTGTGTTGTCATCACGGGGCTTCCTGCCTTGCCTGTGCTTGGGTTCTGCCCCTGTACTGCCTTGGCTGGTGGCCCCAGTTCCCTTGACCCCAGGGCAGCCTACCCGGGAGGTGTGGGTGGGCTGGCTCTTTCACCTGTGGCTTCCTTAAGAGCCCACTCCACCCACCATCTCGCCCCTGGCTTAGGTGCCTCCCCGATGACTTTACAGATGCCACCTGTCCCGGTGTTCCTGCTAGCTCTGGGAAAGAAGCCCCCATTGTGGAGCCAGTTAGAGCTACATCATGGCTTGTCCCTGTGAGGAGGGCAGTGGTCAGGTGTGGCCTCTCATTGGCTCCATCCCTGCCACATCTCTTAGTCTCCAGGAGCAATGGACAGCACACACCTGGGCACTGTAGCTGCTCTGTCATCCAAGATGGCTATATTGCTGCCAGCTTGTCGAGGGTGACCCTGTTATCCTGTGGCTTTGATTCCTCCTCAGCTAAAGGTTTTTAACCTTGCCTGTTACTCCTCATTAAGGATGACACCGGCCTTGGGTGTGTTCAGAGGGGAGACCTGGTGACACGGGATGAGCGGAGAGTGAGCCAGACATAGGTGGGGCTGTGGTCAGTGGTGGGACATTGCCTAGCTCCTGCAAGGACCCGGGTTCCATTCCAGCAGTGGAAAAGGAAGTGGGGAAGACAGGAACCAAACAGTTCATGGTTGTCTTGGGAATCTAACCCCAAACACAGCAGAAGGTCACTGGGGACAGTGACACTATGAGAAATGTCCCTTCTGGGCTCTGGTACTTCAATACTTGGTCCTCCAGTGGATGGCACTGTTTGGGGAGGTTTAGGAGGGAGTGGCCTCGGTGGAGGAAGTGTGTAATTGAGGGCGGGCTCTGAGAACTTGAAAGCCCCACCCTCCTTCTAGTTTGTACCCTGCTTCCTGCTCGTCTTTGGAGATACGAGCTCTCAGCTTCTTGTTCCCACCACCAGACCCCCGGCTACCAAGTGTGCTGATGGGCCTCCCGCCATGACAGACTCATTCGTCTGGAACCATAAACCCCGAATAACCCCCTTTTCATATAAGTTGCCTTGGTAGTGGTATTTACCAGAGCAATGGAAGAGCAACCAGTACAGATACTGTTGCTCAAATTCACCAGAGTGGAAGGACTCAGGGCAGTTTCTTTATGAGAAAAAAGCCACAGGCAACCTGTGTTTTCCTTTTGATGAATCCCTATGGCTTCTGTTGTGAGGCAAATGGAAAATTTGGATTTCCAGTGGCAGAGCTCAAAATGGCAGCCCCCACCTGGCTGTCCATCAGGGGAATTTTAGTAGGAGTAAATATATTGCTTGAAGCCTCTGGCAGTAAAGACTGCTGGGAAACCCAGGGTTTTAGCCTTGCAGCAATCCTTTGCCAGTTAGGGCCAGGTAGGGCTGAGCTGGCCTCCTCCATGTCCAAGAATGCATTCACACACTGCTGACTTAGGCCTGCCGCCTCCATGTCCAAGTGTGGGTCTATGGTCTAATGTCCTAGGCCTGCCCCCTCCATGTCCAAGTGTGGGTCTATGGCCTGATGTTCTAGGCCTGTCCTTTCCATGATCAGGCATGCATGCATTCACACACTGCTGTCCTCGGCCTGCCCACGCACCCCAGTGGGGCTCACCGGCAGCTCAGCACCTCCTCCGGCTTCAGCATCTTGGCTGACTCTATCTTGGGCTCTGTGCCCTTCTCCATGAGGCTCTTCAGCTTGCGATCGTCAGGAGCCTTGCTTGACCAATCTCTCAGCAGACCTACCCTCCGTGTGCCAAACATAGCGTCCTGAAGTACAGGATCAACAGAGCTTTGTCTGCGGTATGGGCTTACCCGAGTGTTGTTTTCTAGGGCTATGACATCCTTGATGTCTAAGTCTGAAATTGGAAGATACGGCCAGGGAGTTAGAGTCTGGGAGAGGTGAGAGTTGAGCAGGGTCGGGGAGTGGGAGTGGGAAAGGGGGAGCTAGAGGAATGAATGGGCTCCCCTCAGCTGATCTGAGGTCTTGGCAAGAGCGCCCACAGGGCTGCAGTTACCCTTCGCCCATCCTCCACTCTCCCAGCCTTCCCAGCTGCCTTCCTGCCCAGCTTCCCCCTTGCTCCTGGCTTTCAATCTTTTCTGTTCTCCCTTTTCAGAGGAGGTTTATCTAATGGGAATTAACTCAGAAGGAAAAGAAATCAGAAGAGGTGAGTGTTGAGCCGGGCTTAAAAGGGCAGTAGTTTATGGTGTGGAGACGCATTGCAGGTGGGACACATGCCAGGCACAACTGCATGGATATGGGAAACCGGAATGTCTGACATGACCCAAACACGGAGCTCAAGCCGGACACCATTTGTCCTTGCTTTATAGAACTACTGGAAGGGACATTCTGTTCATTCCACTTCTAATTGGTATCATTAGTGCAGAGAAAAGCCTATTGCTTCAAAAATACACTGCCAATTAGAATGTCTTGAGTTTTGCAAATATTTTGGAAAAATCAAAATATCTTCCTCCCAATGTTTATTAAAAACTACATATTCTTTTTGGCACACTGAATTTGACAATCAGAAACAGTATGGGTGACAGGCTGAAGGATATTACATTTTGGTCTCAACTTTAAAATGTCTTTAGCATCCCATCGCTTTGAATGAGATTAGCCAGTTGTATTTATTTTATAATTTTTGCCCTTTATTTTATGTTTTTTTGAAACAGGGTTTCTCTATGTAGCCCTGGCTGTCCTAGAACTCACTCTGTAGACCAGGTTGGCCTCGAACTCATAGAGGTCTGCCTGTCTCTGCCTCTCACATGCTGGGATTAAAGGTGTGCACCACCATGCCTGGCTTTGTTCTTCATTCATCTTCAGTTTTTTTTTTTTTTAAGTTGAAGAGTATCTTTTAACTTTATTTCTTATGATTGTTTTAGGATAAAATAGATGTCTCTAAAATCTTATGTTTTAGGAAGCTGAGGAGATGGCTCAGTGTTTAAAACCCCACATTACTCTTTCAGAGGATCCAAGTTCAGTTCCCAGCACCCATGTCAGGTGACTCACAACCACCTGCAACTCCAGCTCCAGGGATCTTCACCTTCTGGCCTCTGAAGACACAGTGCACACACATATGCAAGACCATACTCAGATATAGATGCATATGCATAATTTGAAAAATAAAAATAATCTTTAAAATAAATACTTTATGCCTTATGAAAACTTATTGTTGTGAAGTTTATAGGTGACGTTTAAATGTGAGTCTATATCACCTGTAACTGCATGATTGCATTCTCTAAAGCACTTCCTGTTATAGCCTTTTCTTTTGGAAGAGGAATACTTAAAATTTCCTAAGTGATCATATTTTAGAAAAAAATTATTTTTGTTTTATGTGTATGAGTGTTTTGTCTGTCCGTCTGTATGTGTGAATGTACAGTGTGTGTGTGTGTGTGTGTGTGTGTGTGTGTGTGTGTGTGTGTGTGTGTGTGTGCCTGGTTCCCAAGGATGTCAGACACCCCTGGAACTGGAGTTACAGTTCTGAGCCACCATATGGCTCCTCTATAAGAATGGCCAGTACTCTTAACCACTGAGCCATCTCTCCAGCCCCACCATATATTTAAAAGTGTTCTCTTGGATTTCTTCACCTCTGCTTTCCCTGTTGAGTTGCCACGTCTGGTGCCTGTGGCTGTCTGAGGTTTCTGCATACTCTCTAACATTTCAGGGCATCTTTCACTGTCCTGGGTCTCTTTCCACCCTGGTCTACCTTTGCATTTCCTTGTTATCTCCACCTTAGCCTTTGTTGTCCATGTTTAAAGTCACTTGGTTTTTAGGATGCATCTGAATTTTGACTTTTAAATCTACTGTTGCCTAATTTGATAGGCTTGCTTTCTTCTGTGGCATTTCCTGCAGACAGAGATGTCCATGACTGTGCATCTTAAGTATCTCCAAACTTGCGGAGGCCATCCAGTCACCCTGATGTGATGCTGGTGTGCTTGAGGCAGGTTTATGAGCTATGGACTTTCCTCTGTAATCTAAAGGCACCGTGGCTTCCAGCAGCAGGCCAGGTTGACACCCCCCCCCCCCCCGTCATAAGTAAACTTCTCTGTAAGCTTTCATGTTTTCACTAACAAAATTCAGGAATTTTACCAGGATATGCCTATGGGGAATGGGTCCAGACTCCCTGCAAGGGTCAGTGGACTTGCCTAAGGTCTCAGATGGGTATGTACTAGCTTCAGAACACTTCATGCCCCATATGGTGTTCTGGCCTGTGGCTGGTCCCTGACAGGGTGACTGGGTTGGGAGGTCTCAGCAGTGTCTGCTTGTGCAGGATGGGGTTGGTGCTATCCTTTAGGGGGCATGGTCTTAGTGTCCTCTTTGAAAATCAGGGATCTTATAGTAACAGCATATACTTTCCTGATCCTCTGTTCTCTGATCCTCTTCTGGATCCAGGTAGGCCTATGGTGGAAAGAATGGCAACAACATTAAAGGTTGTGACAATTCAGGGCTCTCTGGGCTCACTCTACTTTTACAACCATATCGTATACATTTAGCCAGTGAGAAAGCGAAAGGTCATGTACCCAAGACCCCCACATCTAATGCATGGTGAACCCAGAATGTTGGCGCCTTTTCCTGGAAGTCTGTTCTGACCTTTCTTTTAGAATAAAATGATCCCCACTTCTGGTACAGAACAGAACAGATAAGTTAGATGTTTCGAGGGCCACATCTGGGACTCCAGAGATGACTCTGTATCTATGTAGACAAAGTGTGCATGTGTGCAGCCATCACCCTTAGCCTTTCTCATTAGAAATGCTCCCTTGGCCTAAAGCCACAGAATACACACAGGCACCCAGTGATTGGCCACCAAAAGCTTTTCTTGCTAGTATTCAAACTTCACCAGGATTCATTGTCATGGAATATGCTCCATGTTTTCCTAGGATCTTTCACTGGCCTCTATCAGGGTGACCATTCTGAAATTCAAATCCAGCTCGGTAGTTCCCTTCTTAAATCACTCTAGGGACTTGCCATTGTATTCCTTTTCTTTTAGTCCATACATCTTTATTTGCAAATGTTCTTTGCAATGCGTCATTGGTCTTGTTTGAGGCCTCTGACTTCTGCTACACTATCAATACTGGATCCTCACTGGGACTCCTCTTGGATATCCTGTTGCTGCCCTGTGTCATGGAGATCCTGCAGTTGTGGATATAAAGGACCGGCCCCTTCACATGCTCCAGAAGTTCATAGATGAGGTGGATGTTAGGGTGGGCTAACTCAGCCCTGAATCTGGACCTGGGTGGAAGCTGAGTTGGTCAGCCCACCAGCTCTCCCACATCCTCACCACCAGGGTGAGTTCTCCAGTACTGCCTCGGCTAGCTCACCCAATGCCACAGGCAACAAGGCTGGATAACAGAAAGTGAGTGTTTGTCTTCCAACACAGTTAGAAACCTGGGCATCGTAAGAGTCTGGGGCATTAAGACACTGGACAGCAAGCAACACGAGGCAGTGAGAGGAAATAGGAGTTCAGCCCGTGGCTATCCCATGCCACGGCAGGTACATCTTTGCAGGATAACACGGTGGACCATGGAGGGGAAACCAGACAGCAACAGGAGATGCTCCTACAGATTGCTACAGAGCGTTGGATAGCCCCTCTCAGCTCAGTCATCGTGGGGACAGAGGGGGCACATTGACAGAAATAGATCAGAGCTGGGTGATGGTGGCGCAGGCCTTTAATCCCAGCACTTTCGGGGCAGAGGCAGGTGGAGCTCTTTGAGTTCAAGGCCAGTCTGGTCTATAGAGCTAGTTCTAGGACAGCTGGGATACACAGAGAAACCCTGTCTTGAACAACAAAACAAAAAAGAAACAGTAGATTAGAGGGGAGTCTCATGTAGCCCAGGCTGGCCTTGATGTTATTTATCCACAGGAAGATGACCTTGAATTTCTGATCTTCCTACTTCCACTTCTCGAGTGCTGGGATTACAGGTGTGTGACGTCATGCTTGGTTCTGTGTGATGGTGCTGGGGACTGAACTTAAGACTGTGCATGTTAGGCAAGCACTCTACTGGTTGAGCCACATCCCCAGTCTAGAAATGTCTATCTAATAAACATACCATTATGCTCATCAAGGCATGAGCATGCTCGGGGAGATACAGAAGATTCAAAGTGACCCAAATTGAACTTCTAGAGATGAAAATATCAGTGTTCGAAATGAAAAACCTATGAGATTAACAGCAGATTGAGCATTGCAGAAGAAAGGACTAGAACCTCATCGGCGGTCCACAGGGACTATATGAAATAACTCATGAAGAGATAAGGCTGAAAGACAAAACTATGGATCCGAGGAACTTCATGTGTGATTGGGGTGTCTGAAAGACAGAGGGGGAACAAAAAATTAAAGAAATATTGGTAAAAGTGTTGCATATTTGATATAAACTAGAAACCAAGAATCCTTGCAAACCTTGAACACAAGTGTAAGAATTATGAGGCCAAGGATGTCGAGGCTCAACAATGTGGAACTACTCAGAGGAAAATCTTTAAAGAACGCCTAGAATGAGGTTCACCCAGCTTCAGAGGGCAGCCAGCTTCCAGTCTCTGCCAGCAACCAGGAGTCCAGCAGGGGGAGGGGCTGATGGAGACCTGGGAGAAGAAAGACCCACAGTGGGTCTTTCGGGTGTGTGTGAAATAAAGATCTCTTCAGATGTGAAAAGGCTGCAAGAGTTTATGTTCTTATTCAGATCTGTTGAAAGCCTCAAGGGAAGGAGAGTGATTCCAGTCAGAATTCTGGATCTATGCAAAGGAAGGAAGAACACTTGGGATGCAGGCAAATGCATGTCTTGTTTAAATGTGTTAAAACGAAACAAACAAGAAACCCCCAGATCCCCATGATGCATTGTGGGTCTGTAACATGGAGAACCATGGTGCTGGCGGCACAACATGGAGGCAGTGAGGGCCACCAATAGAGCTCTGTCCTTGTAGATCCCCTTAGGCTAGCAGGAAGAGAACACGGTGTGAGAAGTCAGGAGCATGTTCAGGCAAGACTCTGTCACTCCAACAGTGCAAGAAAGATGGGACAGGAGCAAAATCACCCACAGGAGCAGGAGAAAAGAGAGCAGGAGTGGACAGAATCCTTTAGAAACAAATACCAAACTAGTGGTTTGCGAACCCAGCTGCGTCAGCAGTGCTGGTGTGTTCACTGAATTGGACTTGATGTTTATTGCTTTGTTGAGGTATAATTGACAAACAAGTTGGCTTATATTTAAAGTGCAGATGTTGATTTGATGTACATGTAGATCAAGATAGGACAACAGCAATCGTGTTAATGCACCCAAAACCATGGCTATGTTCTTTGTTAAGCTCAACTCTCTTAGCAAATTTGAAGTGTATAATATTGTATTTTTTACTATAATGTAGTGACTTCAAGTGTGTAATGCAGGGCTGCTAATTACACTCATCATGAACACATTGTATTAGATCCCAAGGGTAGGGGCATGGAGGTCTTTGTGCTCACACAAGCATTAGGGGAACCTGGGATGTTAAGCACAGAAGATTCTTCCTTCAAGGGAAGGAATGCAAAACCTGTTATCCACCCAGAAGGCTGCAATGGACTACTTTCTAGCCTGGTGACCTTTGTGCTGTCTCTGCGGCTGGAGACTTTTCTGGCACCGGATGCCCCCAGACCCTTATCCTAATGTTCAGTCAATCTATAGAACCTATCTTTACAGACTTTACAGAGAGTTTCCATGTAATCATGTCTGATCTGCATTTTGCTTACTTTGTTTCTCAAGGAGATGTAGGTATGCTTTATTGTGCACGTGGGACTGAGTTAATTATCAGCAGAATAGTTCTCACCAAATTGTGCTGTGCTTAAATATACCTATTTCCTTTTTCTTTTTCTTTCTTTCTTCCTTCTTTCTTCCTTCTTTCTTCCTTCCTTCCTTCCTTCCTTCCTTCCTTCCTTCCTTCCTTCCTTCCTTCCTTCCTTCCTCCCTCCCTCCCTCCCT